TTTTTTTTTAATCCTCACCCAAGGATATTTTTTTTTTCCATTTTAGGGAGAGTAGAAGAGAGAGGGAAGACAGAGAGAAATATCGATGTGAGAGAAACACATCGATTGGTTGCCTCCTGCATGAGCCCGAACCAGGGTGCAGGCCAGGAGGAACCTGCAACCTAGGTACCTGCTCTTGAATAGAATCGAACCCAGGACCCTTCAGTCCACAGTCCCACGCTGTATCCACTGAGCCAAACAGGCTAGGGCCAAACTTTTTAGTTTTTAATATAAATTATAAAATGATATCACAAACTAATCTGAGTTTGCATTTTACTAATTCATAATGAGATTAAACACTTTTTGATATGTTTATTGGCCATAATTATTTCTTATTCTGTGAAATTATTAAGATTTTTTGTCCAATTTTTAAATTTAATTGTCTCTTTCTTAATGATTTTTTTGTATATATTCTGGATACTAATAATTATTGGTTATATGTGTTGTATTTCTCATACTTTGTTGCTTTTTATAACTTCATGCTATATATTTTGATTAATTGCATTCTTTAAAACTTAATACAATTTCATTGATCAATTTTTATTTTAACAGAAATAAATTTTTCCTGTTTAGGAAATCTTTTTCTTCTCCGAGACCAGAAATATATTCTTTAAAGATGTCAAATATTGCTTTCATATTTAAATCCTTAATCCATTTGTAAATGATTTTTTGGTCTGGTGTGAGGTATGAAGTAGAATTCCAGTTTTATACTGTACTAGAGGCCTGGTGCACGAAATTTGTGCCCTGGGGAGTCCCTCAGCCTGGCCTGCGACCTCTCGCTGTCCGGGTGCCCTTGGGGGATGTCCAACTGATGGCTTAGTCGGCAGCACCATTGCGCTTGCCAGCTGTGAGCCTGGCTTGTGGCTGAGCGGTGCTCCCCCTGTGGGAGCGGACTGACCACCAGGGGGCAGCTCCTGTGTTGAGCGTCTGCCCCTTGATGGTGAGTGTGCGTCATAACGACTGGTTGTTCCGCTGTTTGTCGATCTGTATATTAGCTTTTTATTATATAGGATGGCTAATTATTTGTTTCAACATCACCTATTAAGTAGTTTTTCCTTTTTTATCTTGGTGTTTTGTCAAATGTCACTTAACGCTTACAGAGGGTACATTGGAACAATTTCTTTCTTTTTAAAAAAATATAGTTTTATTGATTTTTTACAGAGAGAAAGGGAGAGGGATAGAGAGTTAGAAACATCAATGAGAGAGAAAAATTGATCAGCTGCCTCCTGCACACCCCCTACTGGGGATGTGCCTGCAACCAAGGTACATGCCCTTGAATGGAATCGAACAAGGGACCCCTCAGTCTGCAGGCTGATGCTCTCTCCACTGAGCCACACCGGTTAGGGCTGAAACAGTTTCTATGCAGGGTAATTTGTAATATTAACCAACCTTAAAAATAAATAATTATACTTTTAGAAATAATTTCTATATGCTTGTACATGTGAAATAAAAGTTATGTGAATAAAGTTGATTACTTCAGCCTTTGTAATACCAAAAAAAAAAAAGGTATAACCTAAATTTCCATGAATAGTAGGCTGGATAAAACAAATTATTATGCATTCATATAGTGACATATGTTGGTGTGAAAAACAACAACAACTTCTAAGGACAACCGAGAATTGTTAAAATTGTTTTCCTATACCCGCTGCAGATTATTTACGTCTACAGAAACCCCAAGGATGTTATGAATTCATACTTTCATTTTTCAAATGTGGTGGTCACGCTTGAAGATGTGAATAATATGGAACATTTCATGAAAAGGTTTCTAGATGGAAATGGTAACTAT